ATAGAAGGGATATCTTTGCTGTCAAAACTGATCACATTCCACCAACTCGTGATAATGCATTAGCAATAATGTTGTCTTTGCTTGATAGGCTTGATGTCTAAATCAGGCATTGGTTTTTGTTCTTTATTTTATGATGAAAAGTCAGTTGATTGTGACCAGTATGCACTTGAATAGGAAACAAACTAATACCCAAATACACTTCAAATTGTTGAAAAGCTAACCATAGAGCAACACTTTCTTTTTCTATGATGGAATAATTTGTTTTGTTTGTCAAATGTTCGTGAATAGTAACAGACAGGATGATCAAAGCATGAAGCATCTTCTTGCAACAGGACAGCTCCAGCATCAATGTAAGTATCATCTACTGCAAATCTTACAGGTTTTCCCAAATTTGGTGCTTGAAGAACAGGGGAATTCACGAAAATGGCTTTAACTTTCTTAAAAGCAGCCTGACAATGTCCCAAACAAATTTCACCCCTTTGTCCAACAAATTTGTGAGAGGGGCTACCACTTTTAAATGACAACATTTAAGGTAGTAACCAGCCATACCAACAAGTTCCTTTTTGTTTTGGGGAAATTGGAATTTTGAATTAGCTTCCACCTTTACTTGAGCGATTTTGAGGTCAAATGGCAAAACTTTGTAACTTTGATCCGATTGCCAAGCCCCGTCAGTGGAATCTGCCACTACCCCTTCAATAGGTCAAACTTGCTGACGTATTTGGCTTGACTGATTCTGTCGAAATAGTTATTAATTCTTTGAATTGGAGAAGAGTCGGTATTCATCCGTGTCATGTCGGTACAGCATCTGTAGCTATAATCAGGTTTCGGCACAAGAATGCAAGGTTAACTCCAGTCACTATGCCTTGGTTCAATAATTATTTTGTCCAGCATGTATTGAACTTCCTTATTCTAGGCTTCAAACTTGATTGGATTCATCCGGTAGGGATGTTGTTTCACTGGCACAGCGTCACCTACATCTCCATCACGACACACTAAATCTGTATGGCCAGGTACATAAATAAACAAGAAAGCAAACACTTGAATTAACTCTGACACTAAAGTCCTTTGCGCTGATGACAAATGACCTAATTTAACATCTATGTTAGCTATAACTTTAGAATTGTTTCGTTTAGGGCTAGCATTGTCAGCAACGCCATCAAACTTCAAAAGTCATAATTCTCATCAGTATCACAATCTGATACAATATCTACAGGAGAAACAGCTGCCACGGTACATTGCCATTTCTTTAATGACACTTTCCAATAATATTGACATGACAAAGCTGTGTGTTCTTTCAATGGCCTGGTGTTTGTACAACATAGCATCACTTGCTTTCCTATTAATAATATATAGACAATAGAACCAAGCATGTAATGGTTGACCAGGGATTGACAAAAACACTATATCGCAAGGACTGAAATTCCTCTTTGGAGACTTTATGTCAAAATGCACTTTAATTTTGTCCTGGGATTCTTTTAAATTATCCCCAGAAACTCCGAAATGATGAAACATGCTCCAACAAACTCAATTCAGTTCTACCATAAAGCCAATGCTCCTTCAAGTGCTATAAAGGTCCACATTTGGATGTGGTCCAGACAAACGCACCACTATGGGTCAAAGACAATCTTGTTGCCATGGGAACAGGAACAAAACTATTATTTTTAAAGTTCCTAAACAGCAAAAGGCACCACTTCAGGCCTTGGTTAATACATGTACCAAGTTTGGATGAAAAATGTTTGGATGAATAGTTTTATAGTTCTGCTCCGTAAACGACACCTACCTCCGTTTCAGCTAAGATCAACTTGTTTCCATAAAAACATGGAAAAATCAAATTTAGTTCTTGGTTAACGCATGTACCAGGTTTGGATGAAAAGGCTCTGGTGAAAACGACACCTACCCCTCCTTTTTGAGCCTGTCCAAATTGTTTCCATGGAAATCGAAAAATATAAAAATACCAAGAATCTGCAAATAACAAAAGGCAGCACTTCAGGATCTGTTTGAAAAATCTGCCAATTTTGATTGACATATTAAACGGTTTTCGAGTTAAGCCTGGAAACAAAATGATTATGGACGAATGTACGGACAGATGGACAGACACATGAGGCATTGACTACTGTATATAACCCCACGTTACAACACATGAATACCTTCAGCCCAATCAGTCTAACCAAAAGTCTCAAGACAGTCCTTAAGAGTCTGGTGAAACCTTTCTAAAGCACACTGAAATTCAGGATGATATGCACTGGACGTAACCAGCATTAAGCCCTACTGTTGCATAGCCTGTTGGAAAACACCGGACATTAAATTAGAGCCTGATCTGACTACATAGTCCCAGGTAAACCAACCATAGTTAAGAACTTTACCAAAGCCTTGATAATAACAAGGGCCATAATTTTCCATAGAGGAATAGCCTCTGGAAACCTTGTGGAAATACACATGATATATAATCAGCATGTCCTGATTACCTTCCCTAGTTTTAGGCAAAGGGCAAACACAATCAATGCTGACCCAGCTGAAATATTCTTCCAAGGCTGTAATAGCTATAGGTTCGAGGTGCGACTGGGATTCTCTGAAAGGTTTATCAACCATTTGACATACACGGCAAGATTTGCAAAATTCAGCCACATCATACTGCAAGTTAGGCCAAAGGAAATGGGATAGTATTTTGTCACAAGTTTTGTTCACAACCAAATGACCTGCTAAAGGTCCTATATGATGTTGGAAGTACAATTTGATGAAAAACCTTCCATTCATTATCAGCAGGAACATCTGGCTGCCTTCATTTCCTCATCAAAATGCTTACGTTGAAAAAATAGCAAACTGGATCCATGTCAGCTTCTTCTAACGAGAGCACCATTTTGGCAAGAATTTTTACTTCTGGGTTATTTCATTAGCCAAACCACAAAAAGGCTGTGACAAAAAAACATTGAGAGAAGAAAGAGGACACTTTTTACACTCAGAAATGATATGCCCTGGCTTACGGCAATATCTACAAGTAGGCTCCGTCGAAAATCCGGAAGAATCTTCAAATCCAACTGGAGTAGAGCTTGACTTAGAAGTGTTAGAACGAGAACTGGGAGGGGATGAAATAGCCTTTCCTTATTTATGACCCTGCGAATTCCTGCCTGTAAACCCTGACTGCTAAAAACTAACCCTTGAGTTAGAACCATCCTTTTTCTTAGCCGACCTAACCCTTTGATCATATGTTTCAGGAACCAATTCACAAGCCTTAAAAACTGCGGTCTGAGCTCCTACCAATAGGTAAAGCAGAATAAACGTTCTGCGCTTTACTTCAAAACATGGTCGACTGATCACCATGCCATATTAAACCGTTAGCCACGGAGAGGGAAGAGAGAGAGAGAGAGAGAGAGAGAGAGAGTGAGAGAGAGAGAGAGAGAGAGAGTGAGAGAGAGAGGTAGGTTCCGTAATTCAAGTTGTTTCAGCTTATTTTCTTTTTAAGATTTGAGTCACCATTTTTTCCCCTTCTTTCTCAGCTTCGAATTCTTTAAGCCGGATTTCTCTTTCAAATTCTAATTTCTTCAATCAAAGTAAATTAAAATGGCAGTTAACAACAGAGTAACAGTACAACATTTAAGGGGAGTACAAAATTTAAGGGCAGAACAGAATTTAAGGGCAGTACAATTACAATGGTAGTATGAAATACAATATCAGTGGTAATCGCGCGTAATATTTACCTAGCAGCAACAGTGGTCAACCTTTTGAAATAGGCCTAAGCTGGATCTTCAGGGTGAAAAGTGATCTTCACACAACCACAGGCCTTGTAATGTTAGATGAGGGAGGCACGCCCTTGCATTCTTATATAGTCTAGATACGTTCTAGAAGGCTATATACTGTGCTGGCATAGCCTGGCTGTTCTAGGAGATTCCAGATTACTCTTGACTCCAAAAGCATCTAAATATAGTAACTTCCACACCACTGCTTACAATAGATAGTACTACATTCCTGACAACTAACACAATGCTATGAACTTCTACTGAATCTCAACAGAAACAATTTAATACAATTACAACATTGTTTAACAATAAATTGCACTGCCATATCACACCTTACATTAAAATATCAAAATATGTATGCCTGACAATGAATGATTCTAACATATCTGAATCTGAATTTGTAGTATCTCTTGACTTTGATTCTATAATTACCGTTTTACTATTGGCGCAACGAATAACATGGCTTTTGCAAGTCGAAATACGAAATTTGACTTGAATAAACAAATATCAGCGGTGAGACAATCTTAGGCTGGACATGACAAGCAAGAAATATGTTTTAGTACTCACTGTTGCAGAGGTAGTATCATATCTATTTTATAAAACAATATGTAAAGAGCCATGAAAAGGTTGCATTAGGCTCTGATTTAAGAATCGGGGGCAAGGTGGCCTAATCGTCTAAGGCGCCGCGATGCGCTGTGCAGAGTTGTGTTCCTTGGGCACGCCAGAAACCTATGATCGGAGGTTCGAATCCCGGTTTGTCCCAATCATGTTTTTATGTTTGTCAGCACCATACCCGTGCTCGTGGGTTTCACCGAAGTGGTAAACGTCTGAGGCCTTCATCAGTTCGGGCTTTCCTCCCACATTAAGCTGACATGCCGTGATGTAACTGGAATACTGTAAAACCGAACTCACTCACTCACTCTTTCATGACGTTAACAATTTTCATGATTAATGGGGTCTGGAGGCATGTCACATAAAATCACACACACACACACACACACACACACACACACACACACACACACACACACACACACACACACACACACACACACACACACACACACACACACACACACACACACACACACACACACACATACCACACACAAGCACACGTACACACACACACACCACAAACCACAAACACACACATCGACATCCGACAACTTCTGAACTGCTCCCCGTGTGTTGTACAGTTGACCTATCTGTTGATAGATAAAGGCATAAGGTCATGTTTACACGTATCATGTGACATGGGTTATCAGTTCAAGTAGTACGTATGTAATGACCTTCATTGAACATTCAGCATATTCCTACAACCAACAGAAATGACGGCCTTATGGCAAACACTTCTTCTACTGGCCATTACTTCCTCCTCCCTCGGAGCGCCTCAGGACTACTTGCAGCAGAGATGGGAGGAGTGGCAAGTGACGCACGGGAGGAGGTACAGCAGCCAGGGGGAGGAGGAGGGGCGGAGGAGGGCGTGGCAGGTCAACCAGGATCTGGTGGAGGCCCACAACAAGAGGATGGATGTGGGCTTCTCTCTGGAGATGAACCAGTTCGCTGACGGGGTACGTGTCAGTTATAGAACAAGGGCATCCATTTTATTTCTTAGCCAAGCTTAAGAGGAAATACAGGGAAATAAGTATTAATATATATAAATGAAACATACCTTAGATGAGAATACAACTGATAAGTTAGCTGTAGTTTAAGATAAGGCGAGAGATAGAGAGAGAAAGAGAGAGAGAGAGAGTCTGTAAACCCCACCGTTGCACAGCTCTATCAGTTCGACCATTTTGTTTTGGCTCAGATCCTTCAAGAACGACATCCTGTTCTTCCCGCGGTTCAGCCTCATTCCTGGACAGTTGCCAGAGTAGACGACGTCAAGGTATCATTAACCCCACCCCCTTCTTTTGATTGGCGAAGTAAAGGGGTCATCTCCGCAGTCAAAAACCAAGGAACTATCGGCAGTGCAGACGCCGTCGCATCAGAAGGTTGGCTTCATCCCACATGTGATGCTATTTTACTCAACTTTTGATAGGGATATACCTACCATTCCAAACATAACCTACTGGAAGACACAGACGAGAATACTCCTCTGAATATGTATGAGCGGAACAGTCCATTCTGAATATGTATGAGAGTGAGTGAGTGAGTGAGTGGGTCTAATGCTGCTTTTAACATTATTCCAGTTATATCACGGCGTGTCAGCTTAATGTGGGAGGAAAGCCCGAAGTGATGCAGGTCTCAGACGTTTACCACTTCGGTGAAACCCACGAGCACGGGTATGGTGCTGACAAACCTAGAAACATAATTGGGGCGAACCGGGATTCGAACCCACAATCATAGGTTTCTGGCGTGCCAAAGGGACGCAACTCTGCACAGCGAATTGCCGCTTCTTAGACGACTGGGCCACCCGTGCCCCAATATGTATGAGAGGAACAATCCAATCTGCATGAGAGGAAGAGTCCAATCTGAATATATATGAGAGGAACAGTCCAATCTGAATATGTATGAGAGAAACATTTAAATCTGAATATGTATGAGAGGAACAATCCAATCTGAATATGTATGAGCGGAACAGTCCAATCTGGATATCTATGAGAGGAAGAGTCCAATCTGGATATGTATGAGAGGAACAGCCCATTCTGAATATGTATGAGAGGAGCAGTCCAATCTGAATATGTATGAGGGCAACAATCCAATCTGAATATGTATGAGAGGAAGAGTCCAATCTGAATATGTATGAGAGGAGCAGTCCAATCTGAATATGTATGAGAGGAACAGACCAATCTGAATATGTATGAGCGGAACAGTCCAATCTGAATATGTATGAGCGGAACAGTCCAATCTGGATATGTATGAGAGGAAGAGTCCAATCTGAATATGTATGAGAGGAGCAGTCCAATCTGAATATGTATGAGCGGAACAGTCCAATCTGAATATGTGTGAGCGGAACAGTCCAATCTGGATATGTATGAGAGGAAGAGTCCAATCTGAATATGTATGAGAGGAGCAGTCCAATCTGAATATGTATGAGGGCAACAATCCAATCTGAATATGTATGAGAGGAAGAGTCCAATCTGAATATGTATGAGAGGAGCAGTCCAATCTGAATATGTATGAGCGAAACAGTCCAATCTGAATATGTATGAGCGGAACAGTCCAATCTGGATATGTATGAGAGGAAGAGTCCAATCTGAATATGTATGAGAGGAGCAGTCCAATCTGAATATGTATGAGCGGAACAGTCCAATCTGAATATGTATGAGCGGAACAGTCCAATCTGGATATGTATGAGAGGAAGAGTCCAATCTGAATATGTATGAGAGGAGCAGTCCAATCTGAATATGTATGAGCGGAACAGTCCAATCTGAATATGTATGAGCGGAACAGTCCAATCTGGATATGTATGAGAGGAAGAGTCCAATCTGAATATGTATGAGAGGAGCAGTCCAATCTGAATATGTATGAGGGCAACAATCCAATCTGAATATGTATGAGCGGAACAGCCCAATCTGAATATGTATGAGAGGAACAGACCAATCTGAATATGTATGAGAGGAAGAGTCCAATCTGAATATGTATGAGAGGAGCAGTTGAATTTATGAGCGAGTGGTTGTTGATGATCATTGCTGACGCTGTTGATAAAAAGATTGATGATGATGCTCTGCTTCCCGTGGAGTAAAGAAGGTTTTGACTGAACGAATAACCCTTCATGTGTGTAATGTTTGCAGCAATGTGCGTTCCGAAACACGATGTTTGAATAACGCTATATCTAAGCCATAAATAGCGTCTCAACTGTAGGTTTTGATGCCAGTCAAATGAGGTGAGGTGAAATGGGGTTTAACGTCGCGTCCAAGATTATTGCACTCATATAGCGACGTGCATGTATGTGTATGTGTGTGTGTGGCTGCTTGTACTAGTCCGGACTGATGATGATTTATAGTGCTAGCTCACTGAGATACCATGCAGCAGTTTAACATGAATACCCCACTCAGACACAGTATACTGACTCCGAGCCGACCAGTCCTTGTTTTAATCCCTTAATGCCGAGCGCCAGACAGGGTAACAACAAGTACCATCTTTTAACGTCTTTTGGTATGACGCGGCCCGGGATCGAACCCCGGACCTTCCGCTCTCCGGGCGGACGCTCTACCACTAGACCACGGAGGCGGTCGCCAGTCAAGTGATTCATCACCTCACACACTCTATGTTCTTAGTCAGAGCAGAGGCAATTTCTTATTTTGGTTCCAGAATGCATGGAAAGTTGGAACACGATAAATACCGGGAAAATGGTGAACATCAGCTACCAGGAGATCGCCGATTGTTGTCGAGCCCAAAACGACACCGTTTTTGACTGCATACACAATATTGGCGGCGTCTGTGGCGAGGGAGACTATCCGGTTACTACGGGGCAGTGTCAGAATAATACGTGTCACCCTGACCTACAGGTAAGATCAAGGTCAAAGTATAATGGTCGCTTTTTGTTCATCCATCCATGCTGAAAGCTTATCAATTATTAGTGACCTGGCAGTCAAAAATAATATACTTTTGCCGTGGTCTCACATCAGACAAATCAATGGTTTATTTTACGCAACACACGCTTCATTGTATCCATCGGATCCGCGTTTTAGTCAGACAAGCATGTTGCCTGGCAACGCGATCATAGAACCCATTTGTACCAAGAGTGAGTGCTATGTTGTTTTCTCAGTCATGAAGGGGCGGTGGGGTAGCCTTGTGATTAAAGTGTTCGCTCTTCACGCCGAAGACCCGGGTTCGATTCCCCATACGGGTACAATGTGTGAAGCCCATTTCTTGTGTCTCCCCGCCGTGGTATTGCTGGAATATTGCTAAAAGCGGCTTAAAACCCAACTCACTCATGAATATTCGAAAATATTATTAGTAACTGCTGTATTTTAAACGGTTCAACGAAACAGTATGGAAAAGGGACTTACATTGTAAAGGATTACTTAGAATGATCTTCAATACAACATCCAAAATATTTTGCATGTAAATTTGCTATTTTATCTTCAGATACAGGGCGGTATAAAACTTCCGCCAAGACGCCCGGATCTAATGATCACAGCCCTACTTCAGCGCCCCCTACTGGTGTACGTAGACGCGAGTCACGTGACCTTCCAGCTGTACGAAGGCGGTGTCTACAGTGACCCCAACTGCAGTACGGAGAGAGTGGACCACGCCTTGCAGCTCGTGGGGTACGGACAGAAGGAGGGACAGAAGTACTGGATCTGTAAAAACAGCTGGAGTGAGTATTGCCACGCTTTCTCATTTATAGGCGCGCGATTGGTCCAGTTGTCCAAGGCGCCTCACTTAGCGGTGCAGAGTTGCTTCCCTTGGACGTTCGAGAAACGTATGGTAGTGGGTGCGTGTCCCAGGTTCTCCCTGGGTATGTTCAATCACAATTCCCGTGCTCGTCGGTTTCACTTAAATGGTAATCGTACAGACCTGCATCACTTCGGGGTTTCCTCCAAAATAAACCTGCTATGTTGAGTAAATAGTGTTGGAAGCGCCGTTAAACTTACACAATCAGAAAGGTTGTACTTGTCTGGTTTGTTTGTTGTTTGACGCCGCACTCAGCATTATTCCAGCTATATGACGGCGGTCTGTAAATACTCGAGTCTGGACCAGACAATCCAGGCACTGAAATCATGAGTATCGATCAACGCAATTGGGATACGATGACATGCATCAGCTAAGTCAGCGAGCCTGACTTCCCGAATCCGTACGTACGACAAACATAGGTTGCTGAAGACCATTCCACCCCGGAATCTTCTCGGGGACACTTGTCTGGTAATGACATGAAAGTGTCGACACACACACACACGCAAAATGAGAGACATACACACATCCACCTACACACAGACACGCACACAGACACACACAGACGAAAACACACAGACACACATACGCACAGAGAGACACACAGACACACATAGACGGAGACACACACAAGTACACATACGCACAGAGACACACACACACACACACACACACACACACACACACACATAAACACACACATTAACACAGACACAAACACAACCCTGTGACAACCTTGTATTCTACATGTTGCAGGTTCTAGATGGGGAATGGACGGCTATATCTGGATACGGAGAGGATCTGACGAATGTGCCATAGAGTCGTATGTTTCCTATCCCTACTGACCTGTACCACTGTAAATAAACACTCGAGACACTTGCGTCACATTGCTGTGTTCCAACTAAACATATAAGTCAGGACAAGAATATATGGATGAACAACTTCTTTATTACAATTAAGAGCGACGTTTCGGTGTAGGTTCTAACACCGTTATCAACCAAGTTCTGTTAGAACCTACACCGAAACGTCGCTCTTCAACCATAAATGCTTATCCTGACTTAGTACTCCAACTTCTTAATGCCTACCAAAGTTAACTTATAAGGACTCGTCAATTATATACAGAGGATTGATGGCGTTGGGGTGAGAGAATCTACAGCATGATGCAAATGAATGTCTACAGCGGTTTGTACCATCTTCTCTCATCCGTTCACCCGCGCTGAACGATGCCACTTTAATCGTTTCTTGTGTTAACGATTAAATAAGCAGTCTGTGAAGTTTTTTGACATCAATATATTAAATAAATAAACTTCAATATGTTAAGGGAGTCCCCAACATCAATCAATCCATCAAAAGTTTACGAGGGCTGGTAAAAACGTTCTAAACCTGACTGACTTTCAACTATGAGCCATAACAAAGTGAACTAGTCAATGTAGTACATTGTTTGAGTGGTTCATTGCAAGTGTATTTGGTCTGGTGAGGCCGTTTGTATATCATATATGCCCTAGCTATTCCAGGGTTAAACGTTTGATAGCAATGTTTAAGGCTGGGAGAACAAGGCGGGATGATGACCCAAGGTCCAGACATCCCTCAACTTCCATCAATGAAGATTCAATCAAGGGGATAGGAAAACTTACACTGTCAGATAGACGTAAAACCACTGCTGAACTTGAGGAAGACACAAATCTAAGCCATGGATTCATTGAATCTATTATTCAAGAACATTTACAGATGACTAAGGCATCTGCTCGTTGGGTACCAACGTTTCTAAATTCTGATATTAAGGGAAAATGAACTTACATTACCAGATAAAAGAGCTAACTGAGGAGGATTTCGTCAAATTCATTAAGAGATTCGTAACGGTTGGTGAAACATGGGTCTACCACTATTATCCCGAGTCAAAACGCCAGTCCATGGAATGGCACCATTGCACTTCTCCGGCATCAAAGAAATTCAAGTCTTCAAGATCAGTGAAGAAAGTTATGGTCACTGTGATGCAAAGGGTGTGATCCTTGTTGATTACTTAGAAATTCAAAAGACTATTACCGGTGCCTAGTATGATGAGTTGCTTCATGGCCTTAGAGATTCTATCCAAAACAAAGCAGCGAGGAATGCTGACTGCTGGAGTTCTACTACTTCATGATAATGCCTCTTCTCCCACCTCACGACTTGCATAGGCGGGTTCGAAGAGCTTCCTCACCCACCATACGCGCTAGACCTGGCACCAAGCGATTACCACCTGCTTCCTTCCGAAGAACACCTTCGTGGAAAGCGCCATGACGACAACGATGACCTGAAAGCTGCCGTGAATGGTTTTTTTAGGGTGGCTTCAGAAAACCTCTTACTGGCTGGAATTGAGAAGCTTCACCATCGATAAGAGAAGTGCATTGAAAAGCAGGGAGATTAAGTTGAAAAATTAAATTATAAACACTTTCACAATTTGTTTGTTTGTTAAGCTTAGAATTTTTTTACCAGCCCTCGTATTCATATATAATTATCAGTAGTATATCTTATCTAACACAGGATATCATGAGCATGTAGACATACTGATAGATAGCAATTTTCTCAGGTTTCTTAGGGGGCGGTCGGGTAGCCTAGTGGTTAAAGCGTTCGCTCATCACGCCGAAGATCCGGGTTCGATTCCCGACATGGGTACAATGTGTGAAGCCCATTTCTGGTGTCCCCCGCCGTGATATTGCTGGAAAATTGCTAAAGCGGCGTAAAACCAAACTCACTCACTCACTCAGGTTTCTTAGGGCGTTATTTTATATGGATTCGGATTGGTAAGTGTAGCTATTATCATGCAAACAACGTTTCAGCTTTGTTGTCCGTCTGACACCGTAAAGGAAGATGAAAAACATTTTGAAATAATAATTCAATTCACAAATAAAGACAAATGTTTCAAGTTAGACGCATGAATAACTCTGTACCACCTACATGTTCGTGATACACATTAGCTTATCCAGAGGTTCCTGACAAGAAGTCGAAGAAGGCAAATGTTTTAAATGGCCGCTACCAACCCCGTGAGAATTCAGGGTTAGAGTGAGTGAGCGAGCTTAACGCCGCTTTTAACAGTATTCCATTTATATGGAATTGACAGGATGTTTCTCTTGTTTGAAAACAAACGCGCTCATTCAGTGGGTGAATGAGTGAGTTGGGATTAGCTTTGCTTATAACAGTATTCCAGTTATATCGCGGCGTGTCAGCTTAATGTGGGAGGGAAGCCTGAAGTGATGCAGGTCTCAGACGTTTACCACTTCGGTGAAACCCACGAGCACGGGTATGGTGCTGACAAACCTAGAATCATAATCGGGGCGAACATGGATTCGAACCCACAATCATAGATTTCTGGCGTGCCCAAGGGACGAAACTCTGCACAGCGAATTGCGGCGCCTTAGATGCCTGGACCACCCGTGCCCCCAATTTAGGGTTAGAATTGATCCTGAGCAACCAATGCTGATATTAAGATATAACTTAATGAATTGGGTGGACTAGATTGATTACTTGTCATCGTATTCCGACGTGAATAGTAACTCATAATATCGATCATGGGGTTGTCTGGTCCAGACTCGATTATTTAATGGTCGTTAGCTGGTTTGTTTCTTTGTTTGTTGTTTAACGCCGCACTCAGCAATATTCCAGCTATATGACAGCGTTCTGTAAATAATCGAGTCTGGACCAGACTATCCAGTGATTGACACCATGAGCATCGATCAACGCAATTGGGATACGATGACATGCATCAACCAAGTCAGCGAGCCTGACCACCCGCTCCCGTTAGTCGCCTTTTACGGCAAGCATGGGTTGCTGTAGATCAATTCTAACCAGGATCGTCACGTGTCCGTCAGCTGGTTGACTATGAATTAGTCGAACCTCGATTCTCTTAAAGGCTGCATGTCATCATATAAATTATAAATGTCAGGGTAAAGGTTTTCTGAAGATTGTTTTTCAAACAGCTAGCCTGTCGTGGGTTTCCTTACTTATGAAAACATGCGACGATTCCAGTTCCGGAGGCTTCCTTGATAATGTAAACACGTGGTGAGATTCCTGAAAAAAAAACTGGCTTCCTTTTTATGAAAACACGTGAGGATCCTTTATCATGAAATCATGAAACCAGATTGAAGTGGATTTTCTAATATCAAAACACGCTCAGCCCCGTTATCATGAAAAATTGAGTTTTGAGATCCTTTATTATGAAAACATATGGAACTCCTTTACTATTTAATACGCGGGGTTCCTTTTTCCCGAAAACACACGGAGCTCCTTTATCATGATAACATATATGTTGAACTCCTGTGTCATAAAACATGTGGGATTCCTTAATGATGAAACCACGTCGTGTTCCTTAATCATGAAACTACGTGGGATTCCTTAATCATGAAACTACGTCGGATTCCTTTGTCATGAAACCACGTCGCATTCCTTTATCATGAAACCACGTCGCATTCCTTTATCATGAGACCACGTCGCATTCCTTTGTCACGAAACCACGTCGTGTTCCTTTATCATGAAACAACGTGGGATTCCTTTATCATGAAACCACGTGGGATTCCTTAATCATGAAACAACGTGGGATTCCTTTGTCATGAAACCACGACGGGTTCCTTTATCATGACACCACGTGGGATTCTTTTATCATGAAACCACGTCGCCTTCCTTTATCAAGAAACCACGTGGGATTCCTTTATCATGAAAACGTGATTATTACTTATCCTTGTAACATGTGGATTATTGTGAAAACGTGGAATACTTTCGTCAAGAAAACATGGACATACCTTTATCATGAAAACATGTGAAGTTCGTTTACTATGAAACACATGGATGCCTTTATCATGAAAAAAACGTGAGGTTCCATTATCATGAATACAAGTGGCTTCCTTTAGTATGAAAACAGAGACCATGAAATAAATGAAACGGACAGGAAAGTAGACCAAAGCACAAAGTTTTGTCTCGGTCAGTAACTGGGAAAAGTCACATGCTGTTTGCATGCGGATATATCTATTATCTCGTGGGCGTGATAACCCTGTGAGGTATGATATTATATCATGCATGTATACAAGGTTGGTTTCTCGGCATGATAACACGAACAGATAAACACGTGTATCCATTTGGGGTCATTTACGGACAAATATGCAAATAACAAGGTCAGGTACGACTATCGGTGTTTAGGGGCCCACCATGTGATATTCTGGGGGAGCAGGATGGGATTTTGTATCGGGATACTTTTTCAGATACCGTTACAAAACCAGATATGTATTTATTCAAAATTGTGAGCCTGATTTAAAAAAAAGGAAAACTCCTTGCAACAATGACATTTTTTTTTGTGGCAAGCAATTTATTATCATATTCAACAGCCTGAAGCATCAATTGTGTTTTCAAGACTTTTCGGGTACAATTTCTTTTCGATGGACACATTACTGGGATAATAGTTATCGTTTACAAAAAAATAAGATACCGATAACCAACTGAGGCGTAGCCTACATGTATGTATTGTATAAAATTGTACATAAGCAAATACAACTAGACATGATCAGATTTGTCAGGGCCCTATCTATAATGTCACACTGGTGAAGAGAAACCGGTAATTTACTTTTCTAAAATTATCCATATCTATACTGAACAACAAAAGTTCCTGTGACATTGAATAAGATTTAATACAAAGTTATGTTTTTTACCAAATCTGGAACAATTTCAGTTTGCAACACATAAAAGACTCCTGTAAATGTTTACATGGTTTAATTTGCCATACTGACTTCAGAAAATGCCTGATTTCATTAAAAACGTGAACATGCCAAAATGTCAATTTACAAATCAATAGCGTGTGTGTCCACCTCTGGTTGCGATGCAAGCAACACATCGTCGTCTCATGGAATTGACCAGTCGTCGCACAAAGTCCTGTGGGATATCTGTCCATATCTGCTGGAGCATGTTTCGAAGTTCCTGGAGTGTCTGTGGAACACGTGGTTGACGTCGACGGCGCCGATCCATCTCACCCCACATGTGCCCGATTGGTGAGAGATCAAGGGAGCGAGCCGGCCAGGGGAAGACTTTCACGTTGTTTTGTTGAAGAGAATCCTGAACAAGTCGAGCAATATGAGGCCGGGCGTTCTCATGTTGAAAGGTAATGCCTGGGCCATGACGTCGCAAAAACTGTAGAACAACAGGGTCGATGATCTCGTCGCGGTAGCGCTGTCCATTGAAATTTCCCTCTACCACTATCAAACGGGTCCTCTGTCTTGCTGTAATCCCACCCCATACCATAACGCTGCCGCGCCCGAACCGATCTTCTTCCATGACATAATTACTGACGTAACGTTCACCTCGACGTCGGTACACTCGAATCCGTCCATCGCTGTGGCTGAGGTGAAAACGAGACTCGTCAGTGAATAGAACTTGTCCCCACTGCATGGCCGTCCAGCGTAGGCGCTGTCTGCACCACTGTAGACGTGCTTGACGGTGGTTTCCTGTCAAAATGGGCTGTCTGGTGGGTCTTCTGGTGACAATCCCTGCACATCTGAGTCGGCGACGTACGGTTTGTGAAAATATTCGTCGAAACAGTATACTGACTCCGAGCCGACCAGTCCTTGTTTTAGCCCCTTAATGCCAAGCGCCAGACAGGGTAACAACAAGTACCATCTTTTAACGTATTTTGGTATGACGCGGCCGGGGATCGAACTCCGGACCTTCCGCTCACAGGGTAACAACAAGTACCATCCTTGACGGTGGTTTCCTGTCAAAATGGGAAGTCTGGCGGGTCTTCTGGTGACAATCCCTGCACATCTGAGTCGGCGACGTACGGTTTGTGAAGATATTCGTCGAAGGCCAGGGATGCTTCTTGCAGTCACTGTTGCTCGCTGGAATCGATATCGTAGGTGTGTTGTTCGAATCCAGTTGTCTTGTCGATTATTGGTTACGCGTGGCCTGCCACTCCGAGGATGGTCTCTGACTGCATTCGTCTGTTGCTAATGTTGCCATAAACACCGATTTTATAGTGCTAGCCCACAGAGATACCATGCCGCAGTTTAACATAAATACCCCACTCAGACACAGTATACTGACTCCGAGCCGACCAGTCCTTGTTTTAGCCCCTTAATGCCTAGACCCCAGGCAGGGTAACAACAAGTACCATCCTTGACGGTGGTTTCCTATCAAAATGGGACGTCTGGGACGTCTTTTGGAATTTTGGTATGAAGCGGTCGGGGATCGAATCCCGACCTTCCGCTCTCCGGGCAACCTTTCTTCCACTAGACCACGGAGGCGGTCATTATATTGATAGCTTCATAAAATATTATTAAAATAACCACCAAATACCCAACCGTTTTCTTGCATACAAAATCGCTATAAAAAGTCATTATTAAAAGAAATATTATATAAAAAGGTCTCTAAATCACATGAGAAAACAAAAGTTTCGAAACATGGCTCCTTTTACATTAACCGCCAGGCAAAAGAATGTATTTGCTTGAAACTTGGATTGAAAAAAAAATACAAACGTTATCAAAACGTTGCCAGGCTTACCTGAAGAGTGATACTCATTGATACGATAATGTAATATCGCCTATGCATATACATACCCGACCCGTGGGGATCCGGGGTAGAATAGGTCTTCAGCAACCCATCCTTGCCGTAAGAGACGACTGTGCCGTAAGCTGACTTGGTTGATGCATGTCATCGATCCCAATTACGTGGATCGATGCTCATGATGTCAATCACTGGAGTATCTGGTCCAGACTCGATTATTTACAGACCACCGTCATATAGCTGGAATATTGCTGAGTACGGCGTTAAACAACAAACAAAACAAAAAAATCTACATACCCGAATGAAATACGCCACAATCGAATAACTATTTCTTGTTTATTTGTTTGTTTTTAGCCACCATCATACATACGTGTATACTTTCTTTTCCCCGTCAGTATACATATACTCTGATAGACAGATGATCACAAATTATCGACCGGGTGGAGTGTTATCTTGCGTACGTGACGGTCTATTGCACAACACGTGACGCTCTCTCGAGTATTGAATGACTTCCTTTACGGTAGTCACATGACCACGTGACACGCGTTCGGTCTTGTGATAGAATTCATTACCTGCCTCTTACAGTCAATGGATAGGATTGATCGCAGAATATATAACAGAGCTGACCACAGGAACACAACCACTTTAACCAACAAACATGAAGGTAGCGTGCGCTGTTCTTCTGCTGGCCCTTACTTCCTCCTCCCTCGGAGCGCCTCGGGGCAACCTGCAGCAGAGATGGGAGGAGTGGCAAATGAAGCACGGGAGGAGGTACATCAGTCAGGGGGAGGAGGAGGGGCGGAGGAGGGCGTGGCAGGTCAACCAGGATCTGGTGAAGGCTCACAACAACAGGGTGGATGTTGGCTTCTCTCTGGAGATGAACCAGTTCGCTGACGGGGTAGGTATCAGTTATACAAGACCACCCCTTTACAGTTTATTTTGTCAAATTATAAGTACATGCCTATATTAATCAAATTGATACTTCACATCATTGTGTCAAATTATGAGTACATGCCTATATTAATCAAATTGATACTTCACATCATTGTGTCAAATTATGAGTACTTGCATATATTAATCAAATTGATACTTCACATCATTGTGTCAAATTATGAGTACTTGCATGTATTAATCAAATTGATACTTCACATCATTGTGTCAAATTATGAGTATTTGCATATATTAATCAAATTAATACTTCACATCATTTTGTCAAATTATGAGTACTTGCATATATTAATCAAATTAATACTTCACATCATTTTGTCAAATTATGAGTACTTGCATATATTAATCAAATTAATACTTCACATCATTTTGTCAAATGTTCAGTATATGATATATTAATAAATTTGATTTTTCTCCTTTTACATATCGGTGTATTCATATTTTGATCAAAATATGTGTCTTTTCTTGACGACTGAACGTTCACACAGTCACGAGAAAGTCATGGTAAATTCCATGCATTGAAATACAATGTAAATATCACTAAGAATTTTCGTATGATCCCTTATGCAAATATCTAAGATGTTGACTTCCATCACATACACCTGATATTTGGTTCAAGGTCTATACTATTGATAAGAATGCTATCAGCTTACAGTCAAGGTCAGTCGGTACATCGCACCGTGGATATCCAACACTACACGACAAGTCATACTGACCATGTCGGATCGAGATAAAACGTCTATATACTGATGGGCAAAAGAAACTATGCACCCACGTTTGTTGGTGATGTATTAAATAAGGTACCATAGGCGATATTAATGCATTATGGCAATGCTCATCTCACAACGGGTTGTGTTTTAGACCTTGAGTTTTGCAGTGTTTCGGCGACTGTTTTCAGCCTTATAACGTTGTGATAACGTTTGAAATCGTTTGGTCAAATCCAATTTTCAAGGTCATTCTTTCTTTATCCAGCAGGTTATATTATACGTAAAGTAACTCTTAGTGGTTTTCTTCCTAAGCTTCCAAAAGTTTTGAACAATTTTTAAACAATAAAGCATACTCATGACAAGAGAAAATAAATTAAAAACAAATGCATGTGGGATCATTAATAATCCAAGGGCCATAATATGAATCATTCTAATTCAAATGGCTGCGTGGTGCAATCTGATTGAATTACGTTGTTAAGGATTTAAAGTCGGGTGTCTTACTATGTGACGGGTTTCAGGATATCTTGGCTTTCGTTAATTGTTTTAATAGTTCTGGAAAAAAAACTATATCATCATCTACTGCAACATGACGTCATAGTTCTCAAGAATGACATGAATTTTGTCTCGAACCAGTTTGGACACATGACTGCATTGGAATATTAACAGTTGAAAGATTAAATGCGAAAAAACACGATGTTTACGTCCTATATGAGAAATATAACGAGCGAAGGGTTAGTGGATAAAGGGTCTGGTCATTTCGCCGGAAACCCGGGTTCTATTCCTCAAATGGGTACAATGTGTTAAGCTCATTCTTATGTCCGCAGTCCTGATGTAGCTGGAATATTGCCAAAAGAACCGCAAACCCTGCACTCACACACCCCCTGCATTATGTATACCCTGTCCATCAGACATCGTAAAACATTTCTAAATATTCCATTTTTCAGATGCTTTCGGGACGTCAGCACCTCAAACATTCCCCCGTAGTGGACATTTCCCATGACAACGACCTACCATCAGCTCCCCCCGCGTCGTTTGACTGGAGAACCAAGGGAGTTATCTCCCCTGTCAGCAACCAAGGGGAATTGGGCGACCCTGTCGCCATTGTTGCGGAAGGTACCTGTATTTGACTATTGATAGACTTGAGTTCCATGCACTAAAATGACAGACAGACTTAAATAGACTACAGCCCGTAGAGCAAAATGTTAAGTAAGAGAGCTATCTCTACCGTTATCCCTGCTGTTAGGACCATTGTCCCTGTTTATTAATATTTCCGAAAGGCGCGTGCATATATTTCCCCAGTGTTCTCATTGAAGAATAGATAACTCCATGGTTCTAAAGATATGAATTACACAAAAACACAATCAGATTAGTCGGTTGTCTGGAGGTTTGATGATTACCAAAGGAATCATTTACTTTACTTCTGAAGATTCTCTGATCGTCTTTACTGAAATACTGGACTTTCCGCTCAGTTCGATGACAAAGGACAAAATGATTGCTGCCAGACACATACTCGGGTGACGTAGATGCGTGTGTGTACCAAATCCTTTATCCAAGTGACATTTCGATAAATATATGAGTCTACATCTCCCCGAATACGAACTAATTGCTGACAGAGAATGGAGTCAAGCAGTGCCCAGACGGGCTGCAATGTCTCTTGCCCGGCAGCGTGTTCTGTGTCGCCAGGCATCTCGCGGACAGCAATTCGGGCTATTGGATTAGAAGTTTTCGCTCCGTTTACATAACTTTCTTTTTTTTAACAGGTAGCATATAGCAAATGTTTCTATCTGAACAGAATGTGTCGCGAGCTTCCAGGCCATTAAGAAAGGTGAGGTGCCCAAGTTGAGCTCGCCAGAGATTCAGGACTGTTGTCCGATGCCTGTAGGCGAGGTCTTTGACTGCATACATAACTTCGGGGGCCTCTGCAGTGAGTCTACCTACCCTGTACTTACAGGGCATTGCAGAAACAACTCATGTCAACCGGAAGTACAGGTAAGGTCGCAGTCGGAAGCGCATGTAATGTCAAGGTCAGATGCACTACAAGCAATACTAACAGTACTTTTTTCAGTGTTCAGAAATCGTCTGTTCCAAATCAATTTCCTAATTATCACCTGGGGAATTCCCCTTTTCGATTTACTAAAGGTAATTAGGAGATTATATTTCTCTTTCCATAAAGACTATCTTTGTACAAGGTTACAGGGAAATATTCATAAATGGACCCGTGAACATCCGGGGTAGAATAGGTCTTCAGCCACCCATGCTTGCCGTAAATGGCGACAATTCTTGTCGTAAGAGGCGACTAACGGGATCGGGTCGTCAGGCTCGCTGACTTGGTTGATGCATGTCATCGTAGATCGATGTTCATGATGTTATTCAATGGATTGTCTGGTCCAGACCCGATTTTTCACAGACCGCCGTCATATAGCTGGAATTTTGCTGAGTGCGGCGTTAAACAAACAAATAAACAAACACTATTCACAAATGAATATAATTGCTAAATCCTAGTTGGTCATATCGGAATAACATAGGACGTGTGGTTGTATAGTGTCCTCCCCACAGCACAGGTTACAAAAAAGGTACAGTTTAGCGAAAGGAGAGTAGGTGGATGCTCTGATAAGTTTGACTGCTGGAGACTTCCCGGGTTTCTGACCTAAATGCATTTATCTCTTTATGCTGACTCAGGCCGTGATATAACTGAAATATTGTTAAAAGCGGCGTTAAACCCAGCTCACTAACCCTTGCTGACTCAGCACTGATTGGGTACCCGGTAGGATTTGAAGTTAGTTTGTACGCCTTTTTTCTCCTAACATAATATGCCACTCGCCTATAACCTCATTCTTGATTCTGATAATAGACCATTTTGAATATGAATATGATATAGGTTCTGGGGGGAATATAGAGATTTTCTCGTGTCTTTTGATATGAAAGATATCAACATATGTCGATAGAAGTTCTCTTGGGTGAGATTCTATTTATCATTCATACTTCCAACGTATCCAGTTTTTAAAAAGTAATAAGTGTCCTGTGTGTAAAAGGGAAAAAAACAACAGTTTCACTGGAAGGAGATTACTGATGTCATTTTATTTTGACGTCATGGTAACCGATGATTCTTTCTACAGATCCAGGGAGGGAAAGCCGTGCCAGCAGGCCAAGTGGACCAAATGGTGGACGCCCTGCTCGAGCGCCCCCTGGCGGCATTTATCGATGCCAGCAAAGCCTCATTCGAGATGTACACATCTGGCATCTACAGCGACGCCGACTGCAGCAAGACTGTGGTAGACCACGGCGTGCAAGTGGTGGGATACGGGGAGGAAGGTGGACAGGAGTTTTGGATTTGCAAGAACAGCTGGGGTACGTTCAGAGTATTTTGTGTAAATGTGACACTTCCTACCGCGATCGTGTTTGGCTTTTGACGAATACCCAGGCACATTCGTTGCATCGGGATCACCATGGTGATTTACCTTTACGGCTTTACAGCATCACCCGTGAAGCAACAATGAAACACCTATAACTAAGTTGAACTCTTGTATTAACAATGATCCCACTGATGTTCCTCTCACAATGTCTGACGTCCTCACCATGACAGAGATGATAAATCTGTTTTGGGCCATCAGTTCATGTTTCACGTATTCTGATTAACGCAAACATTTAGTGTACACTAAGACGTTGCTTCCCTCTTTTCCTTACTTTGGGGGAAATGAAATGGTCGTTCCCTATGCAGATGCATTCTAGCATTAAGAACCAGGTGAGCTACAAAGCCCACGGATCTATTTCATATCACTTAAAACTATATGTAAGTTGGACTGATGGTTAAAACGGAAGGGACACCTCCATATTTGAAGCTAGACCACAACTGAAATGTTACCATTACAGGGCCTTGCATTCAATCATTTACAGGCCCAATTTAAGACCACAGAGATATGTAGCTCACCTGAAATTTCCTGGAATATTGTATTAGACCAAGATCAAACAAGGTCATACAAAGCAAAAGAGTGAGTGAGTGAGTGAGTATGGTTTTACGCCGCTTTTAGCAATATTCCAGCAATATCACGGCGGGGGACACCAGAAATGGGCTTCACACATTGTACCCATGTCGGGAATCGAACCCGGGTCCTCGGCGTGACGAGCGAACGCTTTAACCACTAGGCTACCCGACCGCCCCACAAGGCAAAAGAAGTCCATATATATATATATATACATGCATGCATAACTAGCTAAACTTGCATATATTAATCGTGATTATTGGCAGACAAAGCGTTACATAAAGGTTAAAAGCCGAAGCTGTGATAGGTATGTCAATACAAAACAAAATATACAATGTGTTAGAGGGGATGATAAATAAAGTACTGCCTATGTTAATTCAGATTAATAAACGCAAAGGGCAAAACTGACGTTTCCAAAATGGCTGCTATGGCGGCCATGTTTTAAATCAGATCGAAATTCCGTGGACAGATTTAGATTCAGAGACACCATTGCTTGGATTACTTTCAGCTTCATAAATCCGAGCAGTTGACAAAAATGCAGTAAAACTAAAAAAAATACGGGGGGTCAAATTCATAACGATACATTCACACATAGCTTATAATGAGGTGAGGTGAAATGGGGTTTAACGTCGCGTCCAAGATTATTGCACTTATATAGCGACGTGCATGTACGTGTGTGTGTTTGTGTCGCTGCTTGTACTAGTCTGGAGTGATGCCAAATTATAGTGCTAGCACACTGAGATACCATGCCGCAGTTTAACATGAATACCCCACTCAGACACAGTATACTGACTCCGAGCCGATCAGTCCTTGTTTTAGCCCCTTAATGCCGAGCGCCAGACAGGGTAACAACAAGTACAATCTTTTAACGTCTTTCGGTATGACGCGGCCGGGGATCGAACCCCGGACCTCCCGCTCTCCGTGCGGACGCTCTACCATTAGACCACGGAGGCGGTTTAGCTTATGATGAGCAAAAATGACACTTCAATATGGCTAACGTGGAGGCCATGTTTAAAATAGGATCGGACTTCTAGCAAATTTTAGATGCACTATACCTGGGGTCATCCACGCAAAGCTTCATAGGTCTTGTGCTTTCAGAGGAGAAAAGTGTAATTATCACCGACGGAAAACGTTTCACGACATAAGCTTTATTGAGTTTCCGTTAGGTATGTTGAGGTAACGCGGCTGGAGATAAAATGACGTTTGTGGGGAAATTTAGTTGGAATTATTATGAGACGATGTTCCTAATCCACCACTGTATATTCATGATGCGCGGTGTTACCGGTATATTGGTCAATTCAGGTTCGTTCTTTCCATGTCACGTATAACAGTATCATGTTTTAATACTCGATATATCGGGTGGTTTTAAATAGCGATTTTTATCATGTGTTACACTTGCCAAATACCTTCGAAATGTTCTTCTGTGGCAGTGGTGTAACACCAAGTCATCACAGTCCCTAAGCGTGCATTCTTGCGTATTTCTTGAATGAGTAAACATTATTCTGTTCCAGCATCTTGTTTTGTTTCATTTATGAACTTAAATTCATGCATTGATGTTTTTTTATTGCTTCTGAATTAAAAATATTGAATTATACAATATATTATGATGCGTAACGCAATACGGCCTTGTGCATTGTAAAATATTGTGATACACACTAAACATCCAATGCCCAACCCTACTGTATATAGAATAATGTAATGTTGCAGGAGCGTCGTGGGGAGAGGATGGCTACATTCGTATCAAGAAGGGATCAGACACTTGCGGCATTGAATCCCATGCTAGTTACCCCTACTAACGTGTGTTGTTTTAATCCTAGTATTACGTGGACTGAAATATTTACATTGATTTACCGCTAACCTTCAAGGGGTTAAGGATCAACAAATCACTGTGTCTATTTCTTCTCCAAATATATCCAATTCTTGATGTCCCTGTCGTTATATACCATTCATTCATTACGAAAATGTATATATTTGTATATAAAAGTTAACCCTGATGATTTGTTTGATTGGTTTTTTTACCCATTTGGTTAGAAATTACCGAGTGACAGTAACTCAAAATCGTATGTGCACAAGTGGACATGTCACTTCACGTGCACCAGTTTATTGTTCACGTCATCCTGACAGCATTGCTGACGTCACTGGTCTTATTGTGATGTAACATCGGAATGACGTCACACTAGAAATGACGTCATAGCTGAATATTATTAACATTATCCTTAAAATGATTAAAAAATAATAGGTAATAAAGAAATTATTGCACACGTGTGTGTGTCACACTGTTTTTACGATGCAGAATTTTTTACGAATGAAACTAACCGCATAGGGATCTGTACAAAATTAATAAGGATGCGTAATCAGGTTCAGCCAAAAGATTATAATATGTTAATTTATTTCGAACATATAGGAACGTACAACATGGGATGATATTCGTGTGTTGTTGTTTTCAGATGGTAATGTTTTTTTTTATTGTTGTGTGTGCTGAGACAATGAAATTTTGTTTGTTTGTTGTTTAACGCCGAACTCAGAAATATTCCAGTTATATGACGGCGGTCTGTAAATAATCGAGTCTAGACCAGACAATCCAGTGATTGCCATCATGAGCATCGATCTAAGCAAATTGGGATACGATGACATGCATCAACCAAGTCAGCGAGCCTGACCACCCGATCCTGTTAGTCGCCTCTTACGACAAGCATGAGCGAAAGACAATGAAGTGATATTGTGTGATATCAATGAGACATGGTATAATTTGGGCACTTTTTTACTAATTAATTGATTCGCAAACACCTGGGGTCATCACTTTGTTGCAGTGATTCATTCATGAAATGGGGGCACGGGTGGCCCAGTCGTCTGAGGCGCCGCGATTCGCTGTGCAGAGTTGCGTCCCTCGGGCACGCCAGAAACCTATGATTGCGGGTTCGAATCCCGGTTCGCCCTGATTATGTTGCTAGGTTTGTCAGCACCATACCCGTGCTCGTGGGTTGCACCGAAGTGGTAAACGTCTGAGACCTGCATCACTTCGGGCTTTCCTCCCACATTAAGCTGACACGCCGTGATATAACTGGAATAATGTTAAAAACGGCGTTAATCCCAACTCACTCACACACTCATTCCTGTAATTTTCACCTCTAGTTGGCCTTTTACCCCCAATCGAATCTGTTTCATCGGATAATCCAGACTGATTACCTCTTGGCGTTGACGTTTATATTCATTCCCAGGTCTGTCCTAAGCGTGATGTTAATTTGTTTAGCAGTAGTTTAAATCATATCAGAAAGAAAAGGTGTGAAATCCTCATTTACATGGGCATTCAAAGTTATCGGTGTCCAGTGTGATAGTAAACAATCCGATTCGTGGGAGATCCGACAGACAAACAAACACAAATTACCTACCGATGGTGTTATCATCTTGTGAACGTGCAGTTCTAAACCACACCACGTGACACCTGATTCTGTATTGACTGAATACCGTTACACTAGCCACGTGACACGCGCTCTGTCATGTGATATAACCCCTTTATCTGCCTGTAAATAGGCCTGTGTACAGATCGCAGCCTATAAACAGAGTTACACTAACCACAAGAACACAACCACTTCAACAAACAAACAAACAAACATGAAAGCAGCATGCGCCGTTTTTATACTTGCCCTTACGTCGTCCTCCATCGGAGCGCCTCAAGACTTGCAGCAGAGATGGGGGGAGTGGCAAGTGAAGCACGGGAGGAGGTACAGCAGTCAGGGGGAGGAGGAGGGGCGAAGGAGGGCGTGGCAGGTCAATCAAGACTGGGTGAAGGGTCACAAGAACAGGGGAGACGCCGACTTGTCAATGGAGATGAACCAGTTCGCTGACGGGGTAGGGATTTCCATGTTAACATGTTTCAGCACTATTCTAGACGTCCAATCCTGAAAAGGATCCGAACACATTTTTGAATCATATTTATTTCCATCCATTTTTCAACGAATAAGTTCATGTGATGTCAGTACATGCATATGTTAATTGATGTTGCCCTGCCGTCGTCAAAGTTTCAGGGGCGGCAGGGTAGTCCAGTGGTTAAAGCGTCCGCTTCAAGCGGAGGACCCGGGTTCGATTCCCAACATGGGTACAATGTGTGAAGCATATTTCGCCCTGATATTGCTCGCTCCTTCCCTCACGCACGGCACTCACTCATTCACTCACTCACTCACTTACTCACTCACTCTTGTCAGACGCAGCCTGGACGTCAGCTCCTCCACCCTAGTGCTCATTCCCCCACAGTAGACATCATCCACAACAACATGTCACCAGACAACGACGTATCACCAACTCGTCCAAAGTCGTTTGACTGGAGAAGCAAGGGAGTTATCTCCCCTATCAACAACGAAGATCAATTTGGCAATAATTTCGCCGTCGTTGATAGAGGTACCTGTATTTGGTATTTGACCATTTAAAGACTTGAATTACGTACACTGAAATGATAGACAACATTTAAACAGGAATCAGGTAAAGCCTGTACCGTTAAGTAGTGGTAAGTGAGTTGGGTTCAACGCAGCTTTGAACAGTATTCCAGTTATATCACGGCGTGTCAGCTTAATGTGGGAGGAAAGCCTGAAGTGATGCAGGTCTCAGACGTTTACCACTTCAGTGAAACCCATGGACACGGGTATGGTGCTGACAAACCTAGAAACATAATCAGGGCGAAACGGGTTTCAAACCCCCGACCATAAGTTTTTAACTGCGTCCAACTCTGGGACATCTTTTAATATATTGCTGTAGATATATTCGTAAGACAAGACAAAAAATTGTTTTTTTTAAACACATTCGAAAACATCTAACGCTATTGGGCAAGAATACATTCGTAAAATTTTTTTTATATAAAAGCTGAAAGCACTATCTGTAACAACACATGACGCTGTAAGACAACCCCCATTCGAAGGTTGAAGTGAAAAAAGAACAGATGAATTTCAAAGAGAAAAACATTAAAATATATGTAAGTTCACAGTTCATATAAATTTGTTTTTTCTAAATTTGGACTCAAAATCCAAGACAGCACTTTGGACTGACCCATACATGAGCCGTATTCGACGTAATAAGCGCCCCGCTCTAATAAGCGACCTCAGTATTCCAATTATATCAGGGCGTCCATTACTGACAGAGAAACAATTGGATTATCTATAAGCACCGTTTATATAACTGTCTTGTGTTACTGGCAGCTTAATAAAAATGTTTCTATCCGAGCAGGGTGTGTCGAGAGCTTCCAGGCCATAAAGACTGGTAATCTGGTCGGGTTGAGCACGTGGGAGATTGTGGACTGTTGTCCGTTAGCGGAAGATGACTTCTTTGACTGCATACACAACCTCGGTGGCCTGTGCAGTGCGAATGATTACCCACTTTATACAGGGCAGTGCAGAAACAACACATGTCAAGCGGTAGGGATGGTAAGGTCAAGGTCAAATACGACAAATCTTACCGCCATTACTTTTTGTCCGATTCTCGACATCAAACATTCCTATTCGACTTCCACTAGGAATGTGAGACGATTATATCCCTGGTGCTAGATCAGCCACGACAAACCAGGTGACAAACCTAATGGACATAGTCATAAGCTTCTTCAATTCAAGTTCGACTAATCCGTATCTAATTAAAACACTTTTGAAGGTCATTAACTACGTGGTAGCATGTGGTGCTCCTTACAAGAAAGCCCAAAGGTACGGTTTAGCAAAGTTTGTTTGTTTGTTTGTTGTTTAACGCCGCTCAATACCCCAGCCATATGATGGCGGTCTGTAAATAATCAAGTCTGGACCAGAGAATCCAGTGATTGATATCATGAGCATCGGTCTACGCAATTGGGATACGATGACATGCGTCAACCAGGTCAACGATTCCCGATCCCGTTAGAGGCCTCGCACGACAAGCTTAGGTTGCTGAAGATCAGTTCTACCCAGGATCTTCACGGGTAGTTTAACGAAGTAGTATGATGCTTCTTGGTTAGTTTGATGTGGTTTGATAAGTTTTATCCGGACTCCTGCTACGACCAACATATTTTGAAACAATTATGGTCTCTTTTTTCACTGACTCAGTACTGACTTAATATACGTTAGGATTAGATGATATTTAATGCACTATGCAATATTAATTCACATAGGCCTATTTTCGAGGACAAAATATGCCATGTGTCTTTAGTATGCTTCTGGGTCCTGATATTATTATTATTATTATTATTATTATTATTATTATTATTATTATTATTATTTATTTATTTTTTATTTTTTATTTTTAAGAAGAAGAAATAAATGCAGCAAAGCGGGTTTGGGTGATCCTAGCTCATAATCAGCTCAGGGCCCTTGAGGGCCTATTCCAAAGAATTATAATTATAATATATTTATATCATTTTCCATGACGCCCTCTACATATTCTGGGTCATACCATGGATAGAGTCAAAACCACAAGCATGGCGAAGAAAATAAAAGGATCGAGCCACTCCATCAGGTCGCTTAAGATACTGTGTTTGTGCTGGGCATCCGCTGACAATGTGTGGGACAGCCTCATTAAAGTCTAGATTTTATATTTATATTTTGATTTATCAAATACATATCCCCCATTAAGTATGTATTCAGTCTTACTTCCCATGGTTGGCATTGTGGTACACAGATCCAGGGAGGGAAAGCCGTGCCAGCAGGCCAAGTGGACCAAATGGTGGACGCCCTGCTCGAGCGCCCCCTAGCGGTACTCATCGATAGCAGCGCAGCCTCGTTCGAGCGGTACCAAAATGGTATCTACAACGACACTGACTGCAGCAGGACTGAAGTAGGCCACGCCATGCAAGTGGTGGGATACGGGGAGGAAGATGGGCAGGAGTTTTGGATTTGCAAGAATACCTGGGGTACGTTCAGTGCATTGTCTGTAAATGTGACCTTATTATATCCATGTTGGGTACATCACCAACAAACACATCAACGCTGTGATTGCATCCTGATGTTCATGGTTATTTGTTGCAACGTAGCGAAAAACTGGAGTGAATGAGTATGGTTTTACGCCGCTTTTAGCAATATTCCAGCAATATCACGGCGGGGGACACCAGAAATAGTCTTCACACATTGTACCCATGTCGGGAATCGAACCCGGGTCCTCGGCGTCACGAGCGAACGCTTTAACTACTAGGCTACCCGACCGCCCCCGAAAAGCTGGAATATACTCTCAGTGGGTATCATCTGCCGTTGACTGTGAAAAAACGTTGTTCCAGAAGAAATATGAAACATTCTAGAGCAACCTCGATTATCCAACATATTAAGTCTCCATTCTATTACTATACACACCCGAACCCATTCGCCGCCTTAGTTTCCTTGTGAAGCCGGTTTGAAGGACACGACGATATAAACAGACAACCAATCAAATCGCACTGTTCTTTCATAATCTAAACAAGCAGCTGTTTTACCAGTACTCGTCTCGCCTTTTGTAAGCCGTCTCAAATATATCTGGTGCGTTTTGCCGCATAAGACTAAGAAGGGGCACGCTTAATACAAAATATATGCAGAAATGACTGCTTAATTAGATAAAAATGACATTTTCAATATGGCTGCCGTGGCATCATCACTGTATCCTGTCTTGTTCCAGGCAATACATGGGGAGACCAAGGTTATGTCCGCATGAAGAAGGGAGCAGATACTTGCGGCATTGAATCCCATGCGAGTTACCCCTACTAACACGAGACGTCCTCAAACTGGTGTCATATTGATGTAGACCTGTGGGTCCGTTTTACCCTGTTTAAACGTCCAGATAGTCACATCCACATTCGTTTACTGCTCTTATTGGATACTAAACTGCCGCGCCAGTGAGAGTATACACCCATGTTCGAGGGTGGCTAAAAATGTAACAAACAAGTGAGTGAGTGAGTATGGTTTGACGCCGCTTTTAGCAATATTCCAGTAATATCACGGCGGGGGACACCAGAAATGGGCTTCACACATTGTACCCATGTCGGGAATCGAACCCGGGTCTTTGGCGTGACGATCGAACGCTTTAACCACTAGGCTTCCCGACCGCCCCGTAACAAACAAGATGGTGATGTATTTGATGTGGGTATCATAGTTGTGTTTTAGACCTTAAGTGTGCAGTGTTTCGGCGACTGTTTTGATAACGTTTGTAACTTTGGTCAAATTCAATTTTAAAGCATCTACTTTCTTTTGCCCGGCAGTTAATTATACATATACACACATTGGGAGGAGGTGACCTACTGGGTAAACTTTGAACCGGTGTGAGACCCATTCTTGAGGTACTCCCAACTGGCTCAATCATGCATGTGCACAAATGTATGTATGTAAATAAACGTTAACAGCGTGACCAGACTAATTGTGTTAAATGTTTTGAATTCAAAACGTCAACGCCAGAGAATAATCCCTCTCGAATATCTGTTGAAACAGATTCCCTAGGGTAAAAGGCAAAAGTGTTATATGATGGGAACACTGAAAATCGGTAGTGAAAGCAGTTGTTCCCGAAATAGGAAAGAGTGCCATGCTCTACCGGTATCAACAGTTAATAACGTAAGTGTCATTTAGACAAGGACGTGTGACGTGTAAATTTCTCTGAATATCAACTGCTTAATTTCTGGAATAACTTAAGCAGACTTTAGACAGTGAAACCGTGATTAAAAAGCGTAGTAGTCAGCAAAATGTGTCTTTCCGGGACATTGGAATACAATGCACATGCTCTTATGTACTTAAGCTATTGAGAAATGTGAAGGTGAGGTTAGGTGAGGTGAAATTGGGTTTAACGTCACGTCCAAGATTAATACACTTATATAGCGACGTGCATGCACAAGTGTGTTTGTGTGTGTGTGTGTGTGTGTGTGTGTGTGTGCGTGCGTGTGGTCCGGACTAATGCCGATTTTATAGTGCTAACACAGTGAGATACCATGCCGTAGTTTAACATAAATATCCCACTCAGACACAGAATACTGACTCCGAGCCGACCAGTCCTTAGTGCCGACCAGGCCCCTTAGTGCCGAGCCACCAAGAACCATCTTTTAACGTCTTCTGGTATGACGCGGCCAGGGATAAACTGATATCGTCACGTGTGCTGTGACAATGAACTGATATCGCCGTGTGTGCTGTGACAATGACCTGATATCGCTGTGTGTGCTGTGACAATGAACTGATATCGTCGTGTGTGCTGTGAAAATGAACTGATATCGTCGTATGTGCAGTGACAAAGAACTGATATCGTCGTGTGTGCTGTGACAATGAACTGATATCGTCGCGTGTGCAGTGACAATGAACTGATATCGTCGTGTGTGCTGTGACAATGAACTGATATCGTCGTGTGTGCTGTGACAATGAACTGATATCGTCGTGTGTGCTGTGACAATGAACTGATATCGCCGTGTGTGCTGTGACAATGAACTGCTAACGTCGTGTGTGCAGTGACAATGAACTGATATCGTCGTGTGTGCTGTGACATTGAACTGATATCGCCGTGTGTGCTGTGACAATGAACTGATATCGTCGTGTGTGCTGTGACAATGAACTGATATCGTCGTGTGTGCTGTGACAATGAACTGATATCGTCGCGTGTGCTGTGACAATGACCTGATATCGTCGTGTGTGCTGTGACAATGAACTGATATCGTCGTGTGTGCTGTGACAATGAACTGATATAGTCGGGTGTAATGTGACAATGAACTGATATCGTGTGCTGTGACAATGAACTGATATCGTCGTGTGTGCTGTGACAATGAACTGATATCGTCGCGTGTGCTGTGACAATGAACTGATATAGTCGGGTGTAATGTGACAATTAACTGATATCGTGTGCTGTGACAAAGAAGTTATATCGTCGTGTGTGCTGTGGACACAATGAAGGCATATGAATGTGTTTACTGTGACAATGACGGGATTTCGCCACGTGTGATGTGACATCAAAGGGATATCGTCGTATATGTTGCGACAATGAAATCATATCTTTGTGTGTTGAGACAATGAAGGGATATTGGCGCGTCTTCTGTGACAATGAATTGACATTGTCAGATAGCCCGTGACAACGAAGTGGCGTTGTCGTGCGAGATGAGACAACGAATGCGCCTTCTAAGTCATCGTTGTCCAATGGGTTAGTAGACAACCCGATTTGTGGAAGTTCCGACAGACAAACACAAATTATCGGCCGACTGTGTTATCATATTGTGAACGTGCAGGTCTAAACCACAACACGTGACACTTGCTTCAGTAGTGACTGAATACCGTTACACTAGCCACGTGACACGCGCTGCCACGTGATATGATCCTTTTATCTGCCTGTTATAGCCCTGCGTATAGTCTGAGGATAATGTTGATCGCAACAGAGTTACACTGATCACAAGAACGCAAACACTTTAACAAACAAACATGAAGGCAGCATGCGCAGTTCTTCTACTGGCCCTTACTTCCTCCTCCCTCGGAGCGCCTCAGGGCAACCTGCAGCAGAGATGGGAGGAGTGGCAAATGAAGCACGGGAGGAGGTACAGCAGCCAGGGGGAGGAGACGGGGAGGAGGAGGGCGTGGCAGGTCAACCTGGATCTGGTAGAGGCTCACAAGAGGGGGGACGCCGGCTTGTCAATGGAGACGAACCAGGTCGCTGACGGGGTAGGGATTTCCATGTTAACATGTTTCGTCACTATTCAGGACGTGTAATTTTGCTGTTATTCATAGGATCCGAACACTTATATGAACATTTTTTTCCTTCCACTTTTTCAACTGATAATTTCAAATGATAATTTATTTTTCTCCCCATGTAAGACCGCATTCACAATTTCACAGTAAGCCCCATCCACTCATGCACATGAATACAATGGTTATAGCACTAGATGTGGACGTCGCGATTCCGTATCACTCACTCACTCACTCACTCACTCACTGTTCTCAGATGCAGTCTCGACGTCAGCTCCTCAACCCAACTGCACACTCCCCCGTAGTGGACACCCACCATGACAACGACGTATCACCAACTCGTCCCAAGTCATTTGACTGGAGAAACAAGGGAGTTATCTCCCCTGTTACCAACGTTGATTCATTTGGCAATACTTTCGCCATTGTTGCTGCAGGTACCTGTGTTTGGTATTTGACTATTCTAGACATGATTTCCGTTCACTAAAACGATGAGGAAAGCCTGAAGTTATGCAGGTTTACAGCTTTGGTGAAACCCACGAGCATGGGTGTGGTGCTGACAAATCTAGAAACATAACGACCACAGGTTTCGAGCGTGCCCAAGGGACGCAACTCTGCACAGCGAATTGCGTGCCCCAATTATTAGTAAAGTTTAACGGCAAACCTGGGCCACGGGAACGATTTTTTATTTGCGTCTAACTCTTCGACATATTTTAACAGCTGGATGCAGATACATAGTAAAAGAAGAAACTGATTAATAAATAAAACTCATTAGTATACCTCTATTGGGTAAGAATACGTCGTAAAACAAGAAATTACTGATATATTAAATAAACTATTTAAGAATAGGAAGGCTCTTAAACAAGAGGCAATATCTCTGACATAATATGCAATTTGTGAGTTGGGTTTTTTCCGCTTTTAGCAATATTCCAGCAATATCACGGCGGGGGACGCCAGAAATTGGCTTCACACATTGTAGTCTGGTAGGGAATCGAACCCGGGCCTTCGGTGTGATGAGCGAACACTTTAACCACTCGGCTTCCTCGCCGCACCTATGCACTTATGGCAATCTTTAAAACAAGGTTTGAATATGACAAAATGACAATCCTGTTATTGACATCAACATCACCCAAATCACAGAGCCAGATCGCTCGATCCCGTTAGTCGCCTTTTGCTGAAAACCTATTCTACCCCGGATCTTCACGTGTCGGGTGGAGTTAAGGTTTTAGCATGATGGTTACTTCCCATGTCATGGCCGCCCAGGAAGTCCCAGTCTTGACTATTAATGTCATACGTTCTTCCAAGCACATATTTCCACGGTATTTTCATTGATGAACAGATGAATCCACGATGTTAAAATATGGATTACAAAAACTGACCAATCGTCATGGACAAAGTTTTAGGTAGATCCAGTTTCTGCAGATTTGATCTTTACCGGGCAACTTATTTCCTGAGATCCTCTGACCGCCATAACAAGGGCAAGTGAGCGGAACAGTATTCCAATTGTATCATGGCGTCCATTACTGACATCGAAACAACTGGATTAGCTTTTAGTACCGTTTACATAACTGTCTTTTTACTTGCAGCTCAGTACAAATGTTTCTGTCCGAACAGGGTGTGTCGAGAGCTTCCTGGCCATTAAGAATGGTTATCTGCTGGGGTTGAGCACGTACGAGATTGTAGATTGTTGTCCGTTGGTGAAAGATGACATCTTTGACTGCATACACAACTTCGGCGGCCTCTGCGGCGCGACGTCGTACCCTCTGTTTACAGGGCAATGTAAAAACAACACATGTCAAGCTGTCGCGAAGGTAAGGTCAAGGTCAAATACGACAAATTATACCGCCATTACTTTTTTTCCGATTGTCGACATCAAACAGTCTTATTCGACTTCCAATAGGTTAATAAAACGATTATATGCCTGGTGGTAGTTCAGTCACGACAAACAAGGTGACCATCCTAATGGAAAAAGTCATAAGCTTCTTCAATTTAAGGACTAATCCGTATTTAGTGCAATATTCCAGCTCTTTGATGGCGGTCTGAAAATAATCGAGTCTGGACCAGACATTCAGTGATAGACATCATGAACATGCAATTATGATACGATGATATGCATCAACCATCATCGAGCCTGACTACCCGATCCCGTTAGTCGCCCTTTACTACAAGCATAGTCGCCTTTTACGACAAGCATGGGTTGCTGAAGACCTATTCGAAACCGGATCTTCACGGATACAGTTTAGAAAAGAAGTTTGAGAATAGTTGGAAGGTTTCATCACTGGAGATTTCAAGGGTTTCTGCCATGTCCATCATGGTAAATACATAAGTAGTCTTTCTTTCTGATTGGCCTCTTTTCGAGGAAAATAATATGCCATGTACCTTGAGCATGCTTAGGGATAATTATCATCATCATCATCATCATCATCATCATCATCATCATTATTATGTACCGATTAAAATAAAAATGCAGCAAAGTGGATTTGGGTGATCCCGGCACAGTCAGGCTGGTTAGGCTCATCATCAGCTCAGGGCCCTTGCCCCCTCTACACGCAGCCCAGACAGTGAATGGGACTTCTCCCAGGAAGCGCTGCCTAGTCAAACCCACCCAGAACTTTTCGGAGAATGTGAAGACTCCCCAACACTGCAGCCTTCTGCATTACCCAGATTGTCAGAAAGGCTGTATTCCGGGTTGCAAACCCGGTAGGGCTGGGACGGGCAACTCGGGTACACGGGTCGGGTGGGTACTGAGTAGGACCCGGGTACCCACAGGACTACCCGGACCCGTGGTTAGTCACGTGATATATTGTCTAATGACTAAAATTATCTGGAACTCTATGGTTACACTACAAGTCATTAATGTTCGCTTTTCTTTCTGACTATGCACCCATTCCTTCTGACTTTTCATATGGTTCAATAAACATATAACTTAAGTCAACTTCAGTGTATGCATGACCAGATTGTTTAATACATGTATCTAAATACGTTTTGCCAGGCTATGCTAAAAAATATCCCAATCGGACATTTTGAGACATTTCCTGAAACCAAGAGTGGGTATCCGGGTAGGGTAGGGTAAAAGGGGGGCGGGTACCCGGGTAGTAAATTTGGACTCGTCCCAGCTCTAAAACCCGGGTACTCTCAAAAATGACAGTCAACAGATTGGGACGCACGAAACATAAGGCACCGAGAACAATGAATGGGGTGTCGGACAACTTGGTTCTTTGGATGCAAGCGACATTTCCAAAGCGAGGTCTGCATTTTCCTGAATCTTGTCAATCACATTAGTGTCAAAAGGGACAGAAAATTCAATAATATAAATGATTTCATTGGATTTATGAAAAAGGACACGATCAGGTGTGTTGGCCTGGATAGGTTTGAGGCTATCAACGGGCCAATTAGTAGTAGTAGAAGTAGTAGTAGTAGTAGTAGTAGTAGTAGTAGTCCATATCCACCATTAATTATGTAAATAGTTCTACCTCCCATGGCTTAATATTGTTCAACACTTTCTAAAGATCAGGGGAGGGAAAGCCGTGCCAGCAGGCCATGTAAACCGAATGGTGCAGGTCCTGCTCAAGCGCCCCCTAGCGGTACTCATCGATGCCAGCGCAGCCTCGTTCGGGCGGTACCAAAATGGTATCTACAACGACACTGACTGCAGCAATACTAAAGTAAACCACGCCATGCAAGTGGTGGGATACGGGGAGGAAGATGGCCAGGAGTTTTGGATTTGCAAGAACACCTGGGGTACGTTCAGTGCATTGTCTGTAAATGTGACCTTATTATATCCATCTCTTCTCCTTGGGAATATCGCCAACAAACGGACCCGAGAAGATCCGGGGAAGAATAGCAATCCTTGCTAACCGTAAAAGGCGACTGTGCTTGTCGTAAGAGGCAACTAACGGGATCGGGTGGTCAGGCTCGCTGACTTGGTTGATGCATGTCATCGTATCCCAATTGCGTAGATCATGTCAATAACAATTGTCTTTTAACAGCCCGCCGTCTTTTAGCAAGAATATTGGTGAGTGCGGCGTTAAACAACAAGCAAAACGGATTAATTCAGTGATGGTGATTTGTTGCAAAGTAGCGACAAACCGGAATATACTCGTTGTAGGAATAATCGTCCGTAAACTGTGACAGAAATGTTGTTCCAGAAAAGAATTGGAAAACATTCTGTCCTTAGGTTTTAACAAAAACGTATTAACCAAAACTTAAATTATTCGCAGGACATGCTGGATGACATGTAATAATTGTGCTGGGGAAAACAGTCTTTCGGTCCAAATGTGCTTTGTTTCGAAGCAGTGACTGAAAACAACATTCTGTCACCAACACAGAACTATAACTGGTTGGTCCGTTTGCCGTTTGTTTCAATGTTACCATAACTAGGCAACGGGAAATAGTAGCCTGAGTCTCACGTGTATTTTGGTCGACTTTTTCCAGTATGTATTAAACAGACGAAATAAAGTTAACAGTTCGTAAACCTAATTTATTTGCCATTACGCTACTGAAATGTTAGCGTTATCCATGGAATTAAAAAAAATTAAGACAAAATGAAATTTAGAGACGCTGTAAAGACGCGGGTCCTGTAGCTCACCTGACATTATCTGGAAAGTTAATACCAGGGTAGAAAAGAATTTACAATTTTGAAAAGAAAGCCCCGTCACAAAAGAAGAAACATCCTCACAGCCTCTTCATTAGATTGCACAGGTATGCATGTATGACGATATAAAGTTACTGCGTCAAATACCTGATACACAGCAATATATAATGCGTGAGTGGGCATACCAAATACTCAGTGAGGTAATGGGTGAGGTGAGGTGAAATGTGGTTTAACGTCGTGATCAGGATTGTTGCACTTATAAGGAAACACGAAGCATACTACAAAGAAAAGGTTAATGATCACCCGATTCTTTCATATTACGATGCCATTATAGATTTAGTATAGTAGTGAGTGAGTGAATGAGTTGGGTTTAACGCCTTTTTAACAGTATTTCAGCTATATCACGGCGTGTCAGCTTAACGTTAACGTGGGAGGAAAGCCCGAAGTGATGCAGGTCTGAGACGTTTACCACTTCGGTGAAACCCACGAGCACGGGTATGGTGCTGACAAACCTAGAAACATAATCGGGGCGAACCGGGGTTCGAACCCACAACCATAGGTTTCTGGCGGGCTCAAGTTGGCTACTCGTGCCCCCATTTACTATAGTGATATGAAAAAATGGGGTGGTCCTTAACCGTTTTCAGTTTGTTGGCATTAAAAATATGTGTCTTGTCGATACGTACATGTTTAATAACGACACAATGTTCCTAACCCACCACTGTATCTAATCCATTGTCTTGTTCCAGGTCCTAAATGGGGCGATAAAGGCTACGTCCGCATGAAGAAGGGAGCAGACACGTGCGGCATTGAATCCCACGCGAGTTACCCCTACTGACACGAGATGATGAAGCCCTGTGTCTGTGTCCATATTGGTTTACCGCTCTGGCAAACTTTTTGATGGTGGTTAAAATGAAACAAACAGGAAATGGTTGTTCAATGTGGGTGTATTTGATACGGGTATTACAGTTATTTTTGGACTTAAAGTTTGCAGTGTTTCAGCGACTTTTTTCAGCCTTGTAGCGTTTGATAACGTTTGTACGTGTACACTTTCTTTTGCTTTCTGTATATTATACAAATACACACACGGTGAGGGGGCAGCCTACTGGGTAAAGCTTTCACTCGTCTCACAGGGGATCCGTCACCTCCAAGGATACTAGGTGTGAGACCCATTCTTGGCGTACTACCAACTGGCTCAATCATGCATGTGCACAAATGGTTGGTTGGTTGGTTGTTTAACGCAGCACTCAGCAATATCCAATCTATATGACGGCGGTCTGTAAATCTTCGAGTTTGGACCAGACAATCCAGTGATTAATAACCACGCAATTGGGATACGTTGACATGCATCAACCAAGTCAGCGAACCTGACCACCCGATCCCGTTAGTCGCCTCTTACGACAAGCATGGTCGCCTTTTACGGCAAGCATGGGTTGCTGAAGACCTATTCTACCCCAGATCTTCAAGTGCACAAATGTATGTATGTAAGTAAACGTTGACTGACAAGACTGTTTGTGTTAAATGTTTTGAATGCAAAACGGCAACGCCAGAGACTAATCACTCTCAAAATTCAATAGGATGAAAAGCAAAATAGTCAAGAAAATTATATGACCCCGGCGGAACACTGAAAAGGAGTGATGACACCAGGTGTTCGCCAAATGGGAACGCACATCCTGCTCTAGTGGTAGCATCAGCCAATCACATGACTCATTAAAACGTAAGCGTCAGTTAGAGAAGGTCGTGTGAAAAATCCATGTAAATACATCATGGGAAGGAATCGCGCATCTATATGACGGCGGTCTGTAAAATAATCGAGTCTGGACCAAACATTCCAGTGATTGACATCATGAGCATCGATCCGCGCAATTGGGATCGATGACATGCATCAACCATGTCAGCGAGCCTGACCACCCGATCCCGTTAGTCGCCTCTTACGACAAGCATAGTCGCCTTTTACGGCAAGCATAGTCGCCTTCTACAACTAACTTGGATGATGTCATCGATCCCAATTGCGTGGATCGATGCTCAAGATATTAATCACTGGATTGTCCGGTCCAGACTAGATTATTTACAGACCACCGTCATATAGCTGGAATATTGCTGAGTGCGGCGTTAAATAACAAAACCAACCAACCAAATCATATAACAATGCACACACAAACACAGAGAAAAATGGAAAATGTAAAACGAAAAAGGTGACATACACAAGAAGATGCACACAGGTAAATACTGGCACCTACTTGTCGTCACTCCTGCCGCATGTTTCTCCGCCATTAGGAAGATGGAGCGTCTTTGAGGTACGGGCGCTCTTACGCCTCCTTAATTCAGGTAAGTGCCCAAATCTGTCTGCGTGCGCAGGCGCAGAAAACAGACGTTGTGATGACCTGAAGTACAATACATTCTTATTGAACATATCGCGTGTTTGCCTGTAGTTATGGTAACACAACTTTAGTTATCGTTTTTTGTCTTTAATTGATGCGTTAAGACGATTGGCCACCTTCCACCTCTGTCCGACCTGGTTCCGGAAGTGACGTCACACAGAGATGTCGGGGTCAAAGATTCAATTATCCGTGTCTTGTAATAGGCAGTGCGGATTAATTTTGGTCTGGAATAAACTGGAAATTCTGTTTGACGTTCGAGTATGGGGTTTTAACATAAATATGATAGATAAATTCACATTCGTAAACTTGGCGGTAGATAATGAACCTTGCTATTGTGTGAGCAGCCAGGATTAACGGGTCGTGGGTTCAGTTCTGATTCTAGGTTTGGCACCACCCGACCGTTCTCGTGGATTTCACCAAAGTGGTAAACGTCTGAGACTTTCCTTCCACAATAGCGTTGTCGCGATATAAAACGAATTCGATGACATCGGGCGAGAAAATGACCACGTGCAGCATGCAGACAACTGAAGTCAGTCACGGGTAATATTGAACACCCTTTCATCAACGACCCCGAGGATTTAACCGACCCCCAAGGACAGCTTTTGTGTTTCCTTCACACGTTACATGGGCCTTAGGAAACGGACGTAAAATATCTCTTGCGGGCGTACGTGTACTTATAGAGATTCTTATTGTGGCCTTTCAGCACCTCTGTAGCCAAGAGTTTCACTCCCAGGGCAACGAGTACGAAGTTCCCAGGTTCGAATCCACTGAAATATAAGTAGCAGTCGATTTTACATCGTTCCGAATAGTTGCTTGTGTCAGAATTATATTTGTTATATGGATTGTGTTCAAATGCAAAATGGGGGCACGGGTGGCCCAGTCGTCTAAGGCGCCGCGATTCGCTGTGCAGAGTTGCGTCCCTTGGGCACCCCAGAAACATATGATTGTGGGTTCGAATCCCGGTTCGCCCCGATTATGTTTCTAGGTTTGTCAGCACCATACCCGTGCTCGTGGGTTTCACCGAAGTGGTAAACGTCTGAGACCTGCATCACTTCGGGCTTTCCTCCCACATTAAGCTGATACGCCGTGATATAACTAGAATACTGTTAAAAGCGGCGTTAAACCCAACTCACTCACTCAAATGCAAAAAAGATATAAGGGACAGAGGAATTGTCCCACTGGGACAGGGGGATATTCTGTGAAAGTCACGGCAGAGAGGTTATTCTACGAGAACAAGGTCCTGAAAAAACATTAGGATGATGTCACTAGAGATTTGTCGAAGATGTAAAAACCTCAAATGACAATGCCATGTCCTGAAACTCGTGAAGATCCGAGGTAGAAGAGGTCTACAGCAACCCATGCTTGCCGTAAAAGGTGACTATGTTTATGTAAGAGGCAACTAACGGTATCCGGGGTAGAATAGGTCTTAAGCAACCCATGCTTTCCATACAAGGCGACTATGCTTGTAAGAGGCGACTAACGGGCTCGCTGACTTGGTTGATCCATGTCATCGTATCCCAATTGCATGGATCGATGGTCATGATGTCAGTCACTGGATTGTCTGGTCCAGACTCGATTATTTAAAGACCGCAATCATACAGCTGGAATATTGCTGAGTGCGGCGTTAAACAACAAATATTCTAAGTGTAGAACAGTTTCTCATTATGATATCTTCAGGAACTAAAGCAACAACAAACAAACACAACTACCTTGACAATACCCAACCACGTATACCAGTCAACGACAATGTTCACACTAGAAGCCGGATGAGCTTTAAGTTAACCAAAGATCGTGACATTTTGAAACTATAAATAACTGAAAGAAAAACACTACACCAAATTTTAAAAAAAATATTTATTTTTGTTTTTCTTTGGGGTTTTTCAAAGTGTAAGCACGTGCTTGAACAGCATGTGAGGATGATGGACAGGAAAGTGTAGACTTGCTTTGTTCTCGCAGGAAATGTACAGGCATGTGTTTGAGGCGCTGGTTTCAGCAGTGATTTGTATGGCCATCTGCTTAGTAGTCATACTCTATCTGGCGCAGCGTGGTTTGGTAGCTTGTTGCCACTTGTCCTATATCTAGTGTGTCAACTTCACATACATATCAGTCAGGTCGTCTTCGGTCATAGCCATTCTTTGGTCACCAACCAAACTTGAGGGATCTGCTTCATTGGTATCAGTTTTCCTTACCAGAAAAGTTCTTTTTTAACATTTTGAAAAAATTCTCTGTGCTAGAAGAATCTTTTATATTATTTTCTTATATATTAATACTCCCCGTCTCGTGTCATTATGAATAATTCAACAATGGGTATTTCTGGTATTCTCTCAGATTATAAAGGGTTCCAGGATCGTGACAAAGTAATGAAGAGTGATATAGGTATTAAAGTATTAGAATGCTGGAATAGCATATTTCATCATCCAATTACTTGGAAAGATGTTTTTCTTACTGTATAGGATAATCTGCAGAAAGAAAGAATAACTTCTGATAAACTTAGTTGATGATGATATTTGTACATTCTATATGCTGTGGATCTAATGAGATTTATCACATATTTATTATGAATGTAAACAAGTGAGGGGCTTCTGGTTACAGGTTGAAACGGTTATCAATAACAATCTAAATATGGAGCTGGAATTCACAAAATATAATGTCATGTTTGGATGTTGTACATACAACGTGTAGTTGACCGTATTATGCCCTCAGCAAAAGATTCATTTACTTATCAAGTATTAAACAACAACAACTATCCTTTAATGTATTAATTTAAATATTGAGTGGTATTTTTCAAACTGGAAAATATATTTCAAACAAAAATAGAACCCATTGTCATCAGAAGAAATTGAAGAAGCAATTGACTTCTACCCGCTGTCAATCATTCCATCAAGTGAAGCGTTCATAAAATATTTACTCTAGGTTACGGTGGCCCATAAGGGACATGGAGTCTGTTTTTCAATATTTTGATATTTCACTTACTGTTACCGTAACCTTTTGCAAATTAACACGATTTGTCATACAAATGTGTGATTAATCATGTATAAAGAAGATATTGAATCGCTGAAAAGTGAAACGAAAATGTCAAAAACTAAAATGAAAATACAGAAAACTATTTCCACCGCGGTGGAAATAGTTTTCTGTATTTTCATTTTAGTTTTTGACTTTTTCGTTTTTGTTTTTGACATTTTCATTTTAGTTTTTGACATTTTCGTTTCACTTTTCAGCTATTCAATATCTTCTTTACACATGATTTATCACATATTTGTAAGACAAATCGTGTTAATTAGCAAAAGGTTACGATAAAAGTAAGTGAAATATCAAAATATGGAAAAACAGATGCCATGTCCCTTATGGGCCACCGTACCAGGTAATGAGTGAGTTGGGTTTAACGCCGCTTTTAACATTATTCCAGTAATATCACGGCGTGTCAGCTTAATGTGGCGGAAAAGCGCGAATTGATGCAAGTCCCTCTCAAGCAGATTTCTCCTTTTAAAAAATAATAATTTTCCTTTGATTTGTGATTTGGTGGATTCTCGTTCTTGCCTGACTTTATGCAGCAAAGATATTTTGAATTTTTACCACTTGTTTTCTGTCCAACACAATCTCTACTTTGACGATTTGCTAGCTTAGACCGATCAAGATGATAATGCTCCAAATCAGTATCGACCGGTGAAGATCCGGGGTAGAATAGGTCTTCAGCAACCAATTCTTGCCGTAAGAGGCGACTATGCTTGTCGTAAAAGGCGACTAACGGGATCGGGTGGTCAGGCTCGCTGACTTGGTTGATGCACGTCATTGTATATCAATTGCGTGGATCGATGCGCACGATATCAATCACTGGATTGTCTGGTCCAGATGGAATATTGCTGAGTGCGGCGTAAAACAACAAACCAACCAACCAAATCAGTAT